CTTATGTACTTATTATGAACTTTGATTTATCCTTTTGTGTCCTAATTTGGTGAGAAACTCGCGATCGCACAGTGCTGGTCACACTTTGCCAGAAAAACAGTCCTGCTATTAGTTCAAGAACTGGTTATGAAACGTGTAAATTGAAAGTCTATCTCGTCATTTAGGAGGCTTGGGAATAACGTTTGGCATATAAAATACTGGAATAATAAAAACGTAAAAGTTTAGAACACGCTGATCGTGATTCTGTTATGTACGATTGCTATTTCCGGTGTTCAACTGTAGCAGAAACTTGGTTTCGTGACAACACATTAGACTAGAATTATCGAGAAAACACAAGTCAAGTTCGGCCAACTGTGACTGCTTGAAAGCAATAATGAAATTGAAAAGTACTGTAATTCAATATCAATGAATCTATCATCACTTTTAAATTACCTTTGAAGTAAATATTATACCAATAACGCAATAACGCACTCGTGAATGGGACCTCCAATGATGCTCCATGCGGTGTTGGAAGTTTATCGGTAAATCGAACCTCTGTCAACAGAGACACATTTTCCCAATCACTGGAATCAGCTATTTATTTCGGTACTGAAGTCAGGGTGGCAATTTCAATGTTTAGCTACCATAATTTATCTCCATTATGAGCATGAAAATAAATTACGGACCTCGATTGAGATGGATTTAACGGCGGCCATGTTTTTAAGGGATATGTGAAATAATATTAGGGAGGGGGTCAAATTCACGTAATCCTCAATTTTAATGATGTTGACTTAATATTTCATTTTTTTTTTAAAAACTCCGGATATTATTTTATATAATATTTTTATTTTTTATATAATACAACTACAATATGTTTAATTAGTATGCAAATTAATATGCAAATTAGCAGCCGATCTGAGACAATGCAATCCAGTTCAAAGGAAATTTGACATACACTTAGGTTACATGATCACTACCTCTGCTGATTATTTTTTTATGCACTTCTATCTGCTTTTATATTAAATGTATTTTTTTGTATTTTTCTCAATAGTTTTTTTTTTATTTCTTTTGATAGCTTGGCATCCATTTGGTTCAGCTCAAGTGAAATTTTCGGCACAAGTACTATGGCTTTTTGCACATTCTTAATATTTTATTTTTGCAGAATCCTGTGAATATTAATTTGACAATTTTGTAAAGTGGAAACTGTTGAAATAGTTCATCCTAGACTTTGGTAGAACATGTTTAAAATAGTACAGTGTGAACTGCAATTTCTTTCTGGCTGGTATAAATTTATTAAGTAATATTTTTTTCGTACTAAAAAGACTCAAATATCTTTTTCAATTAAATCTAACAGCCAAAGGGAGCACATATGCTACAGCCTCTGCTTACTTTGGACTAAATGTTCTTTTCTTTTTTTCAGGTGCAGAGCCAGATTTCTTTCTCAGAAAGCAAAGGCACTGGAACTACATGTCGCAGGTCCTCTTTTTTTTACTTTGAGAAGTTCTGTCAACCAAAGCATAAATATGTGTTTTCTCTGTACATGAAATTTCACACGATTTGTTAATATTAATGTATGATAATAAAAACTTGATAATATACTTCTGAATGTTTGCACTTTATTTGTATCATTGTCGTATGAGAAGTAATCTTATCCTTATTCGAGATATTGAAACTAATCCAGGGCCACAAACTAGTTTATCCAAACAGACACAACACTGACTCTACATATTTGCAGATCTGATTTGTATACTTCCTTGTCATTTTACCTGTTGTACTGGTTTGGTGCTATCTGGTTTCCTTGCTGAGAATAATGCTGACCTGGATGGAGAGTGCTATAAACTTGAAAATGCCCATAGAAATCATGTTTGCCAATTTATGTCCATGCAACTTTAGAATGACAACTAGCGAAGGCAGTGTCATTCATGACTTGTTTCTATGTATTTTGTTTTACTACTAGGTGCTCATAATTATATTTCCCACATAATAAAAAATATGACCAATGTAACGGGACACATACAAAAGATGTGAGACACCGACTAATGGCTAAACAGTTCTGACTTTTTAATTATGTGTTTATTCTCTTGCTGCAGGTATCATGCTAGTAAGACTGTACCCTCAACATCAGCTGCAGGTCCCAGTACTGCCAGTGTTCAAACTATGCAGCTACAGGAAACAACAGAATTTTTTGGAAAAACGGCTGTTGAATTTTAAAGGTATGATTCTTGCTATCATGTCTTATTTACTATATTCACTTCTAGACAATGTCAGAAAATGTGCGTTCTATTCATGTTTTTGTATGTACAGTGGTAAC